AGCTATTGTTGCAGAATTTATTTAGTCAGAAAAGGATCTTCGCTTTGTCAATCAGTTGTGACGGCATTTTGAGTTTTGGAAAATACAAAAACAAAAGAGAAGCAAATAATTTGTGTGCGTGTGTGTGTCTGTGTGTGTGTGTGTGTGTGTGCTTCCCCATAAATAAAAAGCTGCACAAAGTCAACAACACGCCTAAAATTAAACACCAGACACCTCTTCTGGCATTCCCTCAAACACACAAATACACAAACAGACACACATACACAAACAGACACACACAGCTGATGTTTGGTCTGTCTGACACCGTCGGGGGCATTTCCAGTTCATCGATGTTTTCACTGCGACGGTTTCCAACCAGCAGCCAACTGGGCAGCTCGTGATGCGTTCGCTGCACGTGGGACAAATCAGCTTCCAGTAAAAACAGACCTGCTTCTGTTTGAAAATTAACTTTTATTCTTGTTGTAGTAATAAAACCTTTGTCCTGCAGAGTTCGTCAAAATGGTTGTCCTTCGTTTTAGAGCGTTTGGTCCAAACAAGCAGTCAGTATCTTACCTGCGGCAGATGATTTTGATTTTATTTATTTTTCTTTGACGGAGCTTTGCGGATCAAATTTAAACACTCAGTTGTTGCAGGTGTATGAGTCGTAATTATATATGCAGAAAATAAAAAACCTTTTATCACCATCTTGATAAAATATTTAAGCTGAACTATAATTATTTGATTTTTATCAAAGTGAAGAGTGTAATCTTTCGCAAAATAACGTGCTGTGTTTGTTTTATTAATTTATGGTCTGTAAGGAAAACTAAACCTTTTATTTGTCCATTTAACAAATCACTTAAAGTGCTAAAAAAGCTGGTTTCTGGTGGATTTTTAGGGAAAACTGAAGTTTAATGAGTTAACGAAGCTGCTAACGAGCTTTAAGCACCAATTAGCTCAGATTACAATCTAATGTTGTAAAAAAGTTGATATACATGCTAATAAACAATAATTAATAATTATTAGTATGTGAATAATTAACAGACAGAATCAAAGTTAAAAAAAATCTTTTATTTTGAAACTCCAGATTAAAACTTCCATTTTACTGAACCTCAAAACGTCCGATCAGGACAAAATAGTGATGGTGAAGTGAGGATTTTTTTGTCTTTATATTGATTTGTTTTCAAATTCTCCATTTCAAAAGCTTCAAAATAAAAGTCTGTTAAACTTTGGTGATTTTATCAGCTGGTAGGACGCTAGTTTTGTTTATTCAAAAACAGGAATCCCTGAGTTTCATGATGATGCAAATGAGCGGGAAAAAATTGTCAATTTTAAAGTGAATTATAATAATTATTTAGAAAATACCTTTTTGAAACTTTGATTTAAAGACAGATTATGAAGATTTTATGTAGTTTTAGTTACTGGGTGAGGTGGATGGTGTCTTTATGGACACATTTATTAAAAAAATGTATAGTTTTTATGTAATTTCCAGTGCATTCTGTCCTAAATGTGACTGGTTTCTTCAGCACAGCTTCTTTATTTACAAATAAAAACAGATAAACAGGTTTAACTRACTCAGAGCAGACTGTTGTCTCTGTGACGTCATCACCTTTAAAAGAAGCTCTTTAATGAAACGTTTCTTCGTTCTGCAGGCGTCTGATCCCGTCCCTCTGAAGAAGTCCAAACACGAAGACGTGCCGTCCCAGTCCCCGCTGACGGACAAAGAGAAGCAGCACGACTGGCTCCAGTCCCTGTCCTCGTCCAACAAGGTCAGAGCCGCRGTCCAGAAACAGCCTTACAGAGAGCAGGGAAACACCATCCAGCACGTCGTTTATTTCACCTGTCTGCTCCTCTTCCTCACAAAAATCTAAAAATGTCACTTCCTGCCGTCACGACAGCACGACCTCAGAAGACACTCAAATTTTAAATTTTTTACCTCTTTAAAACAAAAACTGTTTTAATATTTAACAGACAAAAAACTCAGCATCTGTTAACAACTAAATAAAATGTTACTTTTGCTAAAAGCTAACCTGCTAAATAAGATGCTAAGCTCCGCTAACGCTAACCGTTCAGACTGACACAAAGCTGTTGTTAGTTTTCTGTTGGTTTAATCTGAAGGTGGGCGGGATCATCAGTGGCAAATCAGCCAATCGAAACCAGAGTTATAGCTCCGCCTTGATAATTCCAGTTTACCCCTTTCAGAATAAAAGCATTTCATTGAGTTAGTATTTTATAAATACCATTTGAAGTTAGTCAAACAACAAAAAGCAAATACTTTACCAGTTTTTGTAATAAATTATTTTTATTTTTTACGCTCTTAGTTTGAAGTTTAGCTGCTAAAAATGCTACATGCTAACACACGTCCAGCACTGCTTGTAAGRGAGGACAGTTTTTATTTATTCAGAATAAATGGCATAAAAATAAAAGGTTTACATTTGTGAATTTATTTTTGTGAATTTAAAATTAGCAGAAGCTAAGCTAATACGTCCGCTAATGGTTTCCAAAGTTAGCAAAAGATTAAATTTGCTCAATGACGAGCTAATTCCGTGGATTAGCGGAACTGTTTCCAGCACTGTTTTTTTTAATAATCTGACTCTTATTTTGAAATTCCAGATTAAAACTTCTGTATTACAGAATCTTTTGTTCTCCTGAACTTTAAAAAAAGTCTAATCAGGACAAAATAGTTGATTTATGAGAGGTGGTTGCAGCAAAATAATCATATTAGTGTTTGAGTGCGTACATTTTTAATTTATATTGTTTTATTTTGGAGGTCTGACAGGTTTAAGACCCTCAACTTCAGATTCTATAAATATAATAAATAAAAATAAAAACAGTTGTTTTGATGTTTTTAGGGGCTGAACTGCATTCAGGCCAGGCAGAGACCCTCAGCCTTCAGACCCTGGTCCCCCCACATCTCCATCAGCGATAAAGAACAGTCTCCTCATCCTCTGGCCCTCCTGAGAGACAGGTAAGTCCAGACCGGACCAGACCAGACCAGAACCAAACCCGTTAAACCACCCAGACTCAGGTCTGACTGGACCACATCAGCTGGTCTGACCCAGATCCTCCTGGAGTGGGAGAACAGAGCTGCATCAGTTTGGATCTGTTAACTAACAACCTTTAGAAGGAAATTTCAAAATAAAAGATTCCATATTATTAGATAGTGAGAAACTTTCAAAATAAAAGACTTGATTTAATAAAAAAAATACTGAGAAGCTTCAACGGTCTTTAGAATGAAATTTCTAAATAAGACTCAATTTAATTAAATATAGTGAGAAAATTTCAAAATAAAACACTTCATTTATTTAAATATAGTGAGAAACTTAAACAGTCTTTAGAATGAATTTTCAAAATAAGACTTAATTAAATATAGTGAGAAATTTCAAAATAAAAGACTTGATTTAATAAAAAATAGTGATAAACTTCAACAGTCTTTAGGAGGAAATTTCAAATTTCAAAATAAAAGACTCCATATTATTAAATACAATGACAAACTTTCAAAATAAAAGACTTGATTTACTTAAAAATAGTGATAAACTTCAACAGTCTTTAGGAGGAAATTTCAAAATAAAAGATGTGATTTTCATTAAAGATACTAAGTTCCTTCAAAGTAAAAGTCCACCCAGCGCTCATAGATGGGTCAGGTCTGCTGGTCTTCAGGAAGTCCTGTCTCACGGTTCTGGTTTCTCTCCAGCTTCTACAACTATAAGAGCCTGGAGAAGGCCGTGGCCCCCAACGTGGCGCTGACGTCACTGTCGGTGGGGAAGGCGGGGCCCATGTCGCCGACGGTGCCGAGCGTCCCCCACCCCAGCGGAGGCGAAGCCCCGGGCGAGGGCGCCAACTCCCGGCCCCGCAAGAGACGAGCCACAGAGGAGCCCCCGCCGCCCGAGGTGGCCCGCCCCCCTTCCTCTGCCGCCAGCAAAGCGGCGCCGGCGGAGGATAAAGACTCGGAGGTGGAGATCGAAGTGGAGAGTCGTGACGAATGTAAGAAAACAACCGTTGATCAGCTGATCAGCAGAACGCTGCGCTCGCTTCACGTCTCTGTTTCCTCCCTCAGTCACCTCCTCGCTGTCCTCGCTGTCCTCTCCGTCCTTCACCTCGTCCAGCAGCTCCGCCAAGGACCTGAGCTCGCCGGGCGCTCAGGGGCCCCTCCTCTGCGCCGCGGCGTCGGCCGATTGCCCCGCCCCCGTGGCTCCGCCCCCAACAGCTGCGCCGTCGGACGCGGGGCTGGAGTCGGAGCTGGAGAGCCTGAGGCTGGCGCTGGACAGCGGGCTGGACTCCAAGGAGTCCAAGGAGAAGTTCCTGCACGAGATCGTGAAGATGAGGGTGAAGCAGGAGGAGAAGTTAGGCTCCGCCCTGCAGGCCAAACGCAGCCTCCAGCAGGTGAGACGTCTTTTAAACTAAAAGTTTTAAAATATATTTTAACACAGACGGGGCCATTTTATTTACATGCAAAGCATTCTGGGTAAATGATGGCATCAACTAGGTCAT